AAAGACAAAGAGGAGACATATGGATGCAGTTAAAGAGATGGAGGTAGTTGGAGTGAGGACAGAGGACGCAGAGGACAGAGTGAGATGGAGGAGGACTCGCTGTGTCCCTGAAGAGGGAACAGCCGGAAGAAGGCGCAGTCAATAGGTTAACATAGAACCTTGAGGGTTCTAATAGCATCAATGAAACAATTCAGGGTCTTTTGGGCAAAAGACAACTTCAAGTTGGACTAGTTTTAGAGCCCATGCGATGACATCATCAAGTCCTTGGACAGGAACTTGTAGACTATTCTGCACAGCTGTGTGTTTTAGCGTAGCATTGGTGCACCTAGTTGGCCGTGTAGATCTTGTTCTCAGGAGAAAAAGGCTAGAACGAGACTGTCACACTGTAGCAGAGATCAAGCCTCTAAGTTTGATCCCAGACTGTGAAAGACCGGCACAGTTCTCCTCACACCCAACCTCTGGCCCCAATTCATGGTCAAACCTCACTGGGACCTCAGAGAACAATGATGAGAGCTCTCACTTTAGGATGAAGACATTCAGGAGCGCACAAAGACACGTTCCGTGACTAATCAGGCCCAGACTACAGTCTGATTCAGGCTATGGGATGACTCACATTGAAAGACAATTTGTCATCAGATAGGGAACTTGGAGACAGGTTGCCCAGGTGACAGGAGGGTGTGCGAGCCCTCGGGATACCGACTGATGGGAGGGCCAGCAGACGGTAACCCGAGACGGTACCAGAAACTGTGTTGTTACATTTTTGTTCTCTCGATTTTCACGTTTAGTTTTATTTTTGGAACTTCACTAGGACTTGGGCAGAACCAGTTTGATGGTTTTGATGATTTTAGGGAGATATTTTCCACAGGAACGTCAATAATATATATAAATATAAGTGCTATGTGTTGTCATCATTGTATGTTCCCATACAATGATGAAATTAGTTCTCTGCATTTAACCCATCACACCTGAGATACAGCCAGGTGGAGCAGTGGGCAGCTATGTAGGCGCCTGGGAAGCAGGGATTAGATGTCTTACTCAAGGACACCACGACATGTGGGCATGGTGGGGAGTTGAACCGTGACTTTCTTGTCCCAAGTCGGCTGCCCTACCTCTACACCACCTCGGCTCCATCAAGATAAACTAAGGAAGCTTGCGTACAGCATAAGAAATCAACATAATTTATGTGATCCTCTAATGTAAAATGCTTTGACATTTTTCTAGTTAAGGAATTTGTCCCTAAAATCGTGTTTTACCATTCATCCATTGTTGTTACCCTTTATTTCCATTTGTAGACAGTTTAGTTCAAAATGAATCAAATTCATTTGTATCTAATCCAATTTAGGGTTGCCTATTAGTGTATATAAAATGCACATTTGATGTTTTCTGTCAAAGAAAACCAGTGAATTGTGATAAATCCTCACTTTGATTAACAGGAAGAGAACTCCAGCAGAACAGAACAAAATGTCCATTCAGCTAAGGTTAGGCGTTAAACTCTCCACAGATGTGAAAACTAAACTGGTCTCACAAAACCACAAAATATCAGACAAAATGACTCCGTGATTGTGTCATGTCGATTTTTTTTGTGTCTGTTTGTAGTTTAAAGCATCATAAATTTAACAGTAAACATTAGTTCTTGAAAGCAGCACAGTCTGTCAAACTCTGAATCAGCAGCTCCATCAAAGGTCAAGGCCGTGGAAAGGTTGCGTCACCGCATCATGTTATGCAGATGACAACCGACACTTCTGTTCAAGTTTTAGACGAAGGAACCTCCTTTCCTCAACACAGACAAACATGCAACTTAAAGGTTCCTCTTTTCCACAAATATGAACACCCATACACAACGTCCCATACGTTCTAATAACCAGTAAGACCAACGGACAGTATATAAGACGTGCGAGCGGAGCAACATAACTGTGGGATGTCACGTTTTACAGACACACGATGGTATAAAGAAGAGAATTATCGTTATGGTTGCTACCAGATTTGCCCGGACTTTTCATCACAGATCATCAACACCCTTGAGTTCCTTATATTTCCCTGTTTTAATTTATTAACTAGCTAAGTACCTAAAATACATTTGAAATGTTCAAATTGTGTCTAATATCAAGGTGGAAAATGCTTTCCTTCATTTAAGAAAAGTCTTTGGGGTAGATTCTTGTATCGACACATCTATGATGAGATTATTGAACCTTTTTTTAACTGCTACAGTTTCTCTACTTCACAACAGACTCACACAGACACTGACAGAGTGATATTTACAGTATTTACAACATGTTCCATCTTGCGTAAAGTGATGTACACCCAGGAGATGAGAGACGGCTCAATGTACGGACTGGAGTGGGTCCTGAAGTTCAGTCAGACTGCAGGTAGAAACCTAAAACAATGTTGAAATTGTTTTTTCAAAGATAACGTTTGGTTGTTACTCACTGAATCAAGCTTTCCAAAGCTTACAAAGTCTGGGAACAATGTCATTGTCTTAACAAGGGTATGAAAGTATAATATCCTATGTTAGAACCAAGCCGGACACCAAGGCCTAATCCCATTCTTCAAAGATGTCGCTACACCTAGACCTGCCCTAACCAAGTCCCCATGGGTCTTAATTATACCTCACAAGGGATTGTCCTTAAAATATTTCCTGAAAAAAATGGAAACCCTTTCAAACCTAAACAGATACAACAACATTATTTCCAGTGTTCCAGTTAGCTGTTATCTACTGTTCGTGGGGCTTTCTGCAACATTTTGCAAATTATTGTTGAAGAAAGAGGAATATAAGAAAACAGACATCTTTGGCATCTGGATATGCTTCAGCTGCCAACTAAATGTCATGCTACATGCTAGCTTCTTCCAATTTGTAACACGGTTTGAATTGTTCCATTGAAATAGCTTGATTTGCAAGATCAACTAGCCTTAACACTGTAGTCTCTGTTTATTACAAAAATAATTGAGACCGCCCAACCCCCTTGGTGTGAATGTCTAAACCCATGGCAAAGTGTGGGGCAAGAGGTAAAACTGGGATTAGACTTTGAGTTGACCCTTCCAAGGCTCATGTTTTGAGTTATCTACCCAAAGTCAAATCTGAAACCTTTTAACAAGTAACAGAACCAAATCTGACCCAGAACCGCTGTGTTTCTGTTTCCAGTCCTCCTCCAGTGAGCTCATAGTTCATGTAGACATGGGAATGCTACGGCCTCTCTTATCTAACTCTTTGCGAGAAGCATTTTCCAAGATGTCAGACCATTCTTGTTCTATTTTTATAAAGGAAAGTGTATTTTGGCAAAGACCAGTGAGTTTGAAGTACTGGGTTTGGAGTGGTTGAACATGGAGAACAAAGGGCTCAGATTTAAAAAGACATTGGGTGAATGAATCAGCAGCGTAAACAGGCACAGTACTCACATCTCTCATCGGTCGGAGGACGATATGCAGAAAAACTGAGAAATGTCTTTAGAGACAGGAGGGGCGGAGCCCAAAAGCAGAAGAAACTGGTTGTTTTGTTTGTTTGTTTGTTTTCAAATAAATGGAAGACATCCTGTTTACCTGATGGCAGGGATTAGAGAGAAATCCCTAAATCAGAGCATGTCTGAATGACTCACCTGTCCAGAAATCTATAAATTTAAGAGTTTCAGGCATTTTAACACCACTTTATGTCAGTTCTGTCCGTGTCATTCAGATCTGAGGTACACCAAGCGCAGTCTGGATGAAATGTCAGTCCAATTCCACAAAACTCTTAAGTTCATGGTGTTCCTGTCTTCATATGATGCATGTCCTTGAAGCAGCAAGGCGCTGAGTTCAGTAGCGTCTCACAAAAAACAGTCAGTGATTTAAATGGAGCTTATCAGCAGCGGAGGCAGGCCTTGTGCAAAGTCTGCAAAAATTGGCACGTGCTCTGGACCAAAGATGGAGATAAACTGGGTTTAATACTGAAGAACCTTGTCTTGTCGTGACGGGTGTGCAAAACCAGACATGAGTTCAGTTTCTGGTAGATAAAACCGTGCATGTTTAAGACCCAGGTGCGGAAAATAAAAATAACTTGTAGAGATTGAGCAAGTTTGTCTTTGAGTCAGTTAGTGGAGAAAAGTTTGACCAGTTTAAGAAACTCGTTTGGTTTTCTTTAAATGAAAGGGAATAAATTAAACTAAAGCTGAACTACGGAAATTGGTTTCCAGAAAATGGGATATGTTCCAGGCCAGATTTATGGCAACTTGTTTGAGTTTCTAAATACATTTTGTGATATCCTGTAGACCATGTGGACAAACTCAAATATAAAATCCCCTCCAAAAAATGGATACAAATTACCAGTAAACCAAATTTAAGGGTATTCCTCAGTGAAACGAGATGTTTTAGACCCAACTGAAGTTCAGATCATTTCCAGTGATTGTAACAGGAGAACGTTCCACACCAGAAGGTGACAAACAAAAAATGAAGTGGAACATTTTCTAGACCAGAGGTCCACTTTTGTCTCGGCACCGATTATTTAGATGACTACCGGTAGATATGCATTAACTTTAAAACAGCATGGATCCTGGATCAAACATGACATTTTTTTTACCTTTTAGATGAACTTAACTTCATTCTAGAGCAGAGCTGAGGGGATACAGATGTGTTTGAGATGTCTTCAGTAGAACGGTTTGCTTTTTAGTAAAAATAAAAAAATAAAAATCCAGAAGATGTTTGGTCTCTTGGAGAAAGAACGCCCATTGATGTGTCTTATGTTTCTAAATGAAGAGAAGTTTCTAGACCACTCCAGACTGATGTTAGGAAATTACATGAATCCAGATGCTGTATCTAATGATCTGTTTCCAAAAGATTTAATGGAATTAGTTTAAGAACTACATCTAGAGGAGATGATTGGTTTCCAGTAGACCAAAGCTGTTGGGTTTCCATCTTCTACTCTGGGTCTTGTTGGCTTCCATGATTCATTTGTGTTTTAAATAAGATCTATAACAAAAACTAGATTGAGGGAACTGGACTAGATTTTGGGAAACTTCCTTGTTTAGCCCAGTAGGGTTCTAGTTGATGATGTGTGATGTGGTCTAGACCAGAGGTGAGGGAACTTGTTTGGTCTCCAGAACTGGAGATTCACGATCTGATTCCAGAGCTTCTCCATCAGCGTGGTCTTCAGCGCTGCTCACAGTGTTGGACTCTAACGGCGCCTCATCCTACAACAACGACATATAGAAGCAACAACGCTCATACGCCGACTCCAGGGGTGCGGTGTTTGTGTTTCATCTTGTGTTTGTGGTCTTACCGTCACCCAGGGGTGGGAGAGGACTTCTTCAGCCGTGAAACGAACGTCCACGTTCACCTGCAGCATTTGACTAATCAGCATCTGAGGAGCAGGTCATGTGACGTTAGCATAAAATAAACCAAACCAGAGCTACTTCTGTCAGATTGTGCTACAACTTAATATTGTAATGAAAAATAAGAATAGAACTCTCAAAAAGTGCTCCGTCTCAACGTTCCTAACGTTTTGACCTTCTTGAGCTGCACTGAAGTCTCTTTCTGTGTATATTATTTGCACTTCACACATTTAAAAGCAACATGAATGAGTCACACGCTGCTGCTTTTTCCATTTATTTACAACTTTCATCATATGACAGTGATGCAACAAGTCCTCTTTGACTAGTTTTTATCATTTATTTGCTTTTTAAAGAAGATTCTTGGACATCAGTTTGTCACAGAAGTAGTATGGGTGCTGTTCAAACTGTACTCCTGCCAGCATGTTCTTCCACTTTGTACCCAAAGATTTTCACTTCATACCCAGTTGTTGACATTTTGTACTCAACTGTGAACCTAGGTTTGTGCCAATTGGGTACAAAATGTACCCAAAATGTAGTCAAATTTTGTATTTACATTATGAACCAGTTGGCTATACATATGTTGTACTAACTGGGTACAAAATGATTACCACTAACAGTATGGGTATTAATTGGCCAAAGCTGCAGAAGTATTACCAAAAAAGTTTTAAAAATACAAACCAGCTGAACTTCTGTTCTGTAAAGTCCAGTTACTTTGTTTATTCAAACCTTTTTACATTTGCTCTGGATGACTGAGAATCTACACCAGCTTACTGCAAACATATATATATATATATATATATATATATATATATATATATATATATATAGATATATATATATATATATGATATATAGATATAGATGTATATATAGATATAGATGTATATATATGATATATAGATATAGATGTATATATAGCTAGATATACAGATATAGATGTATATATATGATATATAGATATAGATGTATATATAGCTAGATATACAGATATATATATATATATATATACAAACCGGATTCCAAAAAAGTTGGGACACTAAACAAATTGTGAATAAAAACTGAATGCAATGATGTGGAGATGGCAAATGTCAATATTTTATTCGGAATATAACATAGATGACAGATCAAAAGTTTAATCTGAGTAAATGTAACATTTTAAAGGAAAAATGTTGATTCCAAATTTCACAGTGTCAACAAATCCCAAAAAAGTTGGGACAAGTAGCAATAAGTGGCTGGCAAAAGGAAATTGAGCATATAACGAACAGCTGGAAGACCAATTAACAC